AACTGCGAAACCAGCAACACCGAGAAGCCGAGCTCGGTCACCGAGCGTTTCCAGGGCTGTTTGAAGTTGCGGTGCTCGAACACGCCTTCGAATTCCTCCTCGCTGAAAAAACGGAAGTTCAGCAACTTCTCCGCGAGCTGCTCCACGATCTTAAGCGTATCTCCGCGCTCGAAACACACGTACGCAATCAGCCCGCGGCTCATGTCGCAGAACGTCTCGTCGTTCGACACGAGTTTCGCGTACGCCACTTTCTGCACGACCAGCTGCATAAAAATCCAGTAAATGCAAAAAAACTCGGCTCTACCGCCCACCGTCCGGCTAGCCGGCGCGCTAAGCCACCTTCAGGCTCATCACGCTACGCCCCACTTGGATCGTGATGTGGTTCTGCGAGTCCAAAATCACTGGCTTGCGCAACTCAACCAGCGTCCCGAACTTGCTGTTGTTGTCCTCCAGCAAAAACTCGCCGTTTTGGTGGTGAATGGTCGCGTGCCAGCGCGAAATCGAAACGTCGTCGTCACGCAAGTCGCTTTCGTGCCCGCGCCCCAGCCTGCACTCGGGCTTCTCGCCGAAAAAACAAATGTGAATGGCTTTACGCAGTCCGTTGGTGCCAAGCGTCTCAAAGATCAAGTACGGCGCCGGTAAGGGCGGCAATTCAATGAGCGACAGTACCCAGCCTTTGTAGTTCACAAAGAGCGGGAACTGCACGTGACACAGTTCGCAGGTGACTGCGCGAATCGTAATGCAATTTTTTTGCGATGCGCTTTCGTCCTTCAAGTTCAGCTTGCCCAGAATCCACATTTGCAAGCACTCGTAATGCACGTACTTAATACTGCCGTTGCACTCGCAGGCGTGAATGAGCGGGTTGTTTTCGTCGTTCAACTCGGTCAAACAAAAGCGGCACTGCAAGTTTTCGCGCGCGGGATCCGGCGAATCCGACACAGAAACCGTCGAATTATCTCCGTTGAATTTCAACGAACCCTTTATGATGTCCGCCAACACGTCCTGCAAATTGTTAAGGCCGGGTTCCGAGCCCGGCAGAGAAGTCTGCTCCGTCACGATGCGCTGCAATCGCAGCCGGAAGCGGCCCAGCTTTAGTAAGTCCCCTTCGCGCAGCGTGTACGCGCGTTGCGACAGATAGCGGATCACCAACCACATCTTCCTCGAGATGTACGTAGCCGGCCGGCTGATGTTGATCTCCGCAGGAAACACGTAGTAGCGATTGTGCCGCTCTCTGATGCTCAACAACAAATCCGAAAGGCCCGGGTATAACGTCTGGTCGACGCGCGCCGGATTGACTTCCAACTCCGTGCGCACCAGCCGGCAAGATCCGTACACGATGTGTCGTCCGCGGTAAACGTGGATGCTTTCGTAGTCGTACAACTCCTGCGAATCGCGCGCCCACGTGCGGTACTCAACCGTGAGGCTGGGCGGCTTGTCTGTGGCCAAGCACGGTTCAGTCATGCTCTTGGTGCGGTCAGAACTCGCCAAAATGCCGCTCACATAGACGTTGGTCATTCTACCAGCAAACCATGTGAATCAGAAAACAAAACGTCAACTAAACAGTTCCAGAAAGCAGCAGCGTCCGCAACGACTAATCAGGATTCTATTAATGTGGAGCACAGAATGCAAAATTCTGAAAAAGCGCCGCCAACTCAGTTTTTTAAAAACTATAACTGGTCACTTTTTCAAATTTGCGAGGGTTTTTTCTCGGCGCAACCTTCTGTTCGGAGTGTTTTTTCGGCGCGCGCAGGCCCGCGGCGCCGCAAAGCGTTTGCGCCGCCAAACGCGCTGCTGATCGCAACGCTAAGGCCCGTCATGCCCGTTCCGTCTCAGGCGGACCGTCGACGCGCTCACCACCCGAGCCGGCATCGAGGCTGCGTTCGCCAGCGATTCGCGTCTTCTCGAACCGCACCTCCGCTGATCCGCACTTGTCGCACTGCAACTGCGCTCCTCGCGGAGCAACCGCGTGACGGCACCGTCTGCTGAACGCCAGATGAACTTACTGGCAGTTGATGGACCACTTGATCAGTTTTTTGTACTTCTGGCGCTTAAAGTCGAAGCCGCTTATGCCGAGCAACAAACACAAATTCAACACGGACACGTCCCCTGAGTACACTTCGACGCTCTTCTGCTCAGTCGCGGCCGGCTCGAGCGGCTGCGCGACACCGGAGCGCGCGTACAGAAAACAATCACGCGGACTCCGCAAAGGCAGCTGCAAGTTTTGCTTTAGCGTGATCGCTAGCCCGATCAGCTCACAATCTGTTTTGCTTAGTTTGTGCACGTCCTGTGTCAAACTCCCCGCGCGGCGAACGATTTGCAGGCTTTCACGCGAAGGCTCTTTACACTGAAGAAATTCGGCGTACTGCTGCAAAAAGGCGCGGTCGCGTTTTCCTCTGACTTCCTGCAGCACGCTCGGTGTCGTGCAGTAGATAAAGTTTGGACTAAGCATGTTCAGATTGCGAAATATGAAACCTGCGTCTACCACGCAGTAATGCTGCTCTGACATCGCCGGATAATTATTTACGCGGCCGCAGAAAATCGCGCCTTGCCGCGTCGCTTTCTAACGCCGCGCTTCGTGCGCAACTCGCAGTGCGCTCAAATTAATTAAGTGCGCATGGTTCTTTCAATACTTCTGTGGGTCAGTCTGATCGCGCTCGCATCCAACCGCATCGCAATCTTGTACGATCTGGAGAAATGCGCAGATTTCCACGGCTACAGCGCTGAAGCGCTGGACCACCCACGCCACAAAATTCTGTCGCAGCTCAGTACCGCGCTGCACATGTACCGCGCGAACAGACGCAGACTCAACGACGACTACTCTGCCGCACAAGAAGAGCTCAAGACGGAATACCTCGCTGCGCTCAACCTCGAAATTGCGCACGTCCCGCTCGACGTCGACCAGTCAGACTTCGTGAAAATGGCCGAAAGCATCGAGTGCGTCTTGTTTGCAGCAGAAGACCAACTGCGCTCAATCGAGTCTTACTGGAAGGATGATCCTGTCGCAGGGCCGCCAGATGCGAATGCTGAATCCAACAACACGTCTCGCGTTGTGCGCGTTCTTGCGGCTAATACAGTCGAAATCGATGAACAGCTTGCAGCAGATGACTACGGAGAAGAAGGGTTTGAGGCGCAGAAACCAAATGACACGCTTTTCTCCTATCAGTGGAGCCTAATGTCCCGCTCGC